TCCTCCTCCTCCTCCTCCTCCTCCTCTTCCTCCTCCTCCTCCTCCTCCTCTTTAGCGCTCCCCTGATCGCCACGCGATACGCACATGGACGACATCCGTGCGCGCGATCCTCGGCGCTTCGTGAGCGCGTGAGCTGTCAAGCGCGTCCGGACGCGCCGCGGACCTGCATTTACGATCGCCACGTGGCGCTCCGAGGTGTCAATTGAAACGTTAATCGCGACTTTTGCCGGAGATGCGTTCTTCGCGCCCGCGAATCCCTCTTTCTCTTTTCGCGTCTAGCAAATACGAGCGCGCTATTCATCGCCGCGAGGACAACGAACGACACCACTGTCGTCATCGCGCAGGGTCGCGGGACGTTGGACTCGATGATGTGCAGAGTGTAAACTAAACCTCGCGCAGTCAAGTGAATAACAAAATTTCCTGCCATCAGTTTCGAGTGGACTTGGGCTGAACTTTAACGCTCACACACAGATAAATGTCATTCCACTGCTAAGAAAAGCGATTGCTCAGTTTATTTTTTTTTTTTAAGCAATGTTTATTCTCGACAAAGAATATTTTCTCGACAACAATCTTAAAATATATTCATCACAAGTTTCAGGAAAGCTCGTTATCGTGTAAAAAATTCGAAAAGATTTTTATTCTCTTTATTAGAATATTATAGAAGTTTATCAAAGAGGAAGTCGATTCGACTCTGCGTAGCAAGTAAATCGAATTTTTCTTTTAATTTAATATTTTTGATCTAAACTTACTAGAATTTAGAAATGTCATGGATAAATCTAACGCTAAAGGTGGGTTTATGGTTGAGATTTACAGATATATAAATTCGAACAACTTGAAACGAGTAACATTTACTCGAATGCAAATGCGTTTTTCTGTGTGTGCAGCTACAGAAATGTATCAAGTCGAGAATTGAAAATTCCCACGAATAAGGACTCTTCTCATTAATATTTCCACAAGGGAAAAATTGTCAAATTTTCATAAAGAAAAGCGCCATGTGTGGAATAGTCGCGAATTAGCTTGCACTCTGTACGAACCACCGATATTCGAGGATACGCAGCGGTCACCTCTCCGCGCGACCCTCGTTCCTCGAGGAGACGTCGCGCGTCTCGAAGACCGACGACCGTGCCCCGACGAACGCTCGCCGTCGCGGTCAACGCCGAGAATGGAAGGCGAAAAAGAACAACCGCGGGGCGGAAAGGGGTACATATCTTGTATTACGGCCTCGCCGAGCCTGTAATCAACGCGGGACCGCGAAACGCCCATCGACGCCCTCTCATTCCGCCTCTCGCCATTCTATTTTCTTCTCTCCTCGGCCCAGCTCCGTGCCGGACGCTTTCCCTCCGGGGCCCTCCGTCCATCCCATCGTGCCACCCTCCCTTCCTCCTCCCTATTCGAAGCCCTCTTCCTGCGCTTTTCTTCCTCTGTGTCGGCGCTTCGCGAGCGCGTCACGACGCGCGCCCACTCTGTAATCATTATCGGCTCTCGCAGCCGGACCGCGTGCTCTTTCCCGCTTTCTTTCTCTCGACTGTTGCCGATCCTTACCCATTCGTTCGTCTGTCCGTCTGTCCGTCCGTTCGTTTGTTTGCGTGTGTATCCCCTCCCGCGTTCCCGAATTCCATTACGCTCCATTACGAATTGACCTGCGAGACGCGCCAACCTCTCCCACCGGGCAGATTCGCCGGGATTTATTGCCGAGACGCGCGCGCGCGCGCGCTAATATTAGACAGTGCGCGAATTTGCCAGCCACGCGGCGGAGGCGATCCACCCGCGTATATCCTCTCCCATCTCGCGCTCCCGCGAGCCTATTTCGTGCCTCGTGCTGTCTATGCGCGCACTACCAATTGGCGTTTTGCTCGCTTGAAAAATCGTCACGGGTCGAAAATAGCCATCGCTGGAAGTTTGAACATTTTGATGGGCGCGCAACGAGCAGATATCACGCGGAAGGAAAGGGATCGTGGGCGGCGGGTTGTGGAGGAGGTGGCAGAGGGGGGGGGGG